CAAGGCCTCAAGGGACACCGGACATTTTCTCGAGAAAGGGGAGGGGGGCTTCATGTTCCCCAAACGGGAATCCAAGAGGTATGTGTATCAAAGTGGCAGTTGCAATCATGCCATCAAAGTCCCGCCCCTCTGCATGTGCATTTGATGTTGATACATGTGCAAAAAGGTTTGATCACAGTTGCAACCGCCATCTTCACTATTTTCACCCCCCACCTGGCTTATGCCCCCATCTGCAAATGGTGACTTTCACCCAGTTAATGTGACTGCATGCTTACAGACCTAGCAGAAAGGAGATTTTACACAATTAGTGGCTACTTCAGTGGCTTATCAGTCAGAACCTCCCTCCACCTACTAACAACCCAAAGAATCATAGTACTTGGGTGTGTATGTGTGTAAAATCAAAACACAAGTTAACTACTTCACAAAGCCTTAAACTTCTTCCATGCTGTCAACGTAGCATTTTCACATGCACCCTATAAAATGGCCAAGATTTTTATAGATTCCATTATCCTTAGTTTACAAGAGAATACTTTCTGCAATTAAAAAAAACTTTTGTTATATTGTTAACATGTATTTTTAGATTAGGATGTTGAGATTAAATAATAGACTTATTCACCTCTCTCCTAGTTAAACACTGCTGCTAGGCCACCATGATGTAGAAAAAAATCCAAATTTTATCAGCAATAGCTTCTTCAGGACCAACTGAAATGTCACAGAAGATCAACCCTGAGCTCACCAGAAAACTAAAGGGAAAACATTTTTGTACTGGCTTCAATCAACCTTTATTTTGAGTCAGACACATCACTTTAAACATTGAGAATTTCACTTTGTATCAAGCAGAGTCCATTTTAACCCAAATTAGCAACATATGTGAAATATAACCTACTGGACCCCAGTTCCTGACAGTTTAGAGATTAAAAAAACAAAACAAAAATCCTTACTGATACACATACAAGAAAATGAATTGTCATCTTTAGATAAGTCAAAAGCTTCCAGATTCCCCAAATGGAAAAAGAAAGCATTCTTCCTAATAGGAGGCCTTACTGAGTTATGAAAAGAAAAGATAAAGACTTATTGAAACTGCAAACACTCTCCAGTTAGACTATATAGACTTCAAAAGAGTAAGTAGAATCTATTATTCTGAAGGGGATAACCAACACTAAGATCTGAGAAAGTTTTAATACCATTCATATCTGTGTACAAGTTTAGATGAAGCCTTCTCTGATAATTCTGCCTGACCCAGGAGAGTAAAACAAAGAATCTTTCTTTGAGTTTGGCACAGGAAAATTGCCCATAATTGTCAGTCAGCTCTGTTTGATAGCCTTTATTAAACCAGGAGGATGGCAATAAGAAGAGATATCCAATTATTATCGCTGCACCTGCATATACGATTAAAAACTAATTTGCTTATTTATTTCTAAAAGACTTTTAAAATTATACATGTGAATAGCTCATTTGCATTGTATATGAGATTTACATTTAAAATAAACTAAGACCCATGTATAGCTAACCATTAAGATCCAACTAACACTGGATGGGCAACCTACAAGCCTGTGGACTGCATATGGATTCCCAGCAACTCATTTGCAGGTGAGCTGGAAAGAACAGAATTAAATTTAGTAAAGAAATGTAAAATTCTTAACTAAGGAAACAGGAATCAAAGCGCATTCCTGGCTTGTAACTGTACAGTTCAAGATTATCTTGGAGCAGTAATTGGTTGCAAATTAAATATGAGTCAGCAGTGTGAAAAAAAGGCAGATGCCATTTTAAGCTGAATCCATAGAAGTGTAGTTTCCAAGTGGCTGAATGTAATAACTCCACTTTACTGTGTAGTTGTCAGTGTCAGCTTATGTATTGTGTCCTATTCTGGACATCATTTTAAGGAGGATTCAGACAAACTGGAAGAGGTTCAGAGAAGCCAACAAGGATCTTCATGGCACAAAAACTAAGTCCTATGAAAACAAAGTAAATGAATTGGACATGTTCAGTCTTGAGAAGATTAAGGGAAAATATGATAGTAGTCTTCAAATACCTGAAAGGATGTCACATAGAAGGTTAAGACTGTCTTCTATCTTTCCAGAGGGCAGGACTTTATGTTACGGAAAGGTAACTGAATGTTAGGAAAAAATGTCTTAGTAGTAAGACAGTGGAACCAATTACACAGAGAAGTGGTGTTTTAGACAGCCAAGTGTCAAGAATGCGTTAATTTGAATTCTTGTACCGAGCAGGATGTTGCACTCAATGACATAAGTAACTCTTTCCAAGTCTATGTGTTTATTTTATACTGCAAAGTATTTTGAAAATAATGATTTGCATGCTTATTCCCTTTTGATAATTGAAGATCATTTATAAATTTATTTGTTCTTTAAAATATCTATTCCACCCTTCAAAAAACAGTTTTTCCAAGGACATTTTACAACACACTAATATCATAATATAAAAATTCAGGACTAATTAAAAAAATTAAATACAATAATACAAATAGAATTCTGAGTATGTATCAGTACACTATACATACCTTTTGGTTGACATGGGCAACTCAATGTATGCTTGTAAGTTAGTTTATCAGTTAGAGATCCCAATTTATATAGAACAGCATGAGCAGGCTTGGGGTAAAACTGGGTTTTGGTTGTGCTTGTGGAATATTGGCTATAATATCAAATCAAATTAAATAACTTTATTTTAGCCATAAGGCCAGAAAATAGTGATATAAAACCTACAAAGTAAGTGAATATCGATATCGATGTCAGTTTACAAGTAGTAAGCATAAGATATATAACAAGGAATAAGAATGAAATACAGAACATAAAATACAATAATAATAGAATAAAATACGAATATAAAATACCAGTAAGAAATGAATCAGAATCTTAGACTACAAGTAAGATGAATAGCACATGGAGTGGTGCAAAACTCTGCAACCTGAGAGGATAATATTTGGTCCTTATCCGATAGGAGGAACAACAGATAGAAGCTGTGTTCTCTGCCCAGAAATGTCGCACAAATTATGAGTTGGTGAACCTCAAGACTCTTTAAACTGCTATTTTGAAAGGCAGATGAAGACAATTGTTGGTAAGGGTATCAAGCTGCATGTGGACAACTAGCCAACTGATAGAACAGAAAGATGCAGGGTGCGTTTCTTATCTAGCACAAATAATGTTTTCTGTTAAGAACAAGAATATCAATAAATAAAAATGTCCTCTAATAAAGCAATTATCTTTTCTCTGATTTAAGTTTTATGTACCTAAATGTTTCATACAGACTTAGAAAAGCTGGATTAACTTCCAAGGGTCTAAGATATAGAAATTTACTACAACATTATTCTCTTAATGCTTTTCAAGATGGTTAGGGTTACATATAAAGAGGAAAACAAGTCTGATAACAGCAGGAGACCTGAGATCTATATCTGCTTGAACATCTCTCTGACAAAGGTTCTTTCAAGAATTCTTTCAGCTGACTTTAACAGGAGGAACACTCTGAGATTTTCTACTGTCTTAAAGCAATCTTCAATAGGAATACATATAAATGTTGTTCCCCTTCTAGGCTGCTGGAGTCCATCTCTTAATAATGAAGCTAATTGCATAATGTTTATCTGACTTGTGTCCCTTTCCAAAATCTCTAAAAACGTTTCTTGCAATTGAAGAATGGAAAAGCTACAAGTTGGTGGGGGAATCTTATCCCATTTGAACTTCTAAAGACAATTCTGACAGGTGGATACCAGTACTGGGATTCTCCTTACCCATTCTGATAATTCCATTCACGTGCTCAAGAAATGTATAAACATCTATGTAATTTAAATAGGGAGGAAAATTAACAACAAAGAGGTTAGTGATTGACTGTAGGTATTCTGCCTTAATGAACACAGCCAATATATAAAGGCATGACATCTGCTGTGGAGTTCTGTTTTAGTTCTGCCCTGAAGAAGCTAGAGGCAGGGCTAGTGAAATGCCCACACATATTCACTGTCTCACATGGCCTTATCTGGAAGTCATTTCACCAATAACCATTTTGTCACTTTTCCTAGCACCCTCAGATTATCACTGCAATGGCTTTCTTTCTGCTGCTGCTATTTATAGCATCCCTCCGTTGCTTCACACCTAATGTTTCTAAAGACAGTCATCACATAAATCTGAATTGTACCTGATATTAATTGAAGTTCACAGACTTGCTGTTTTGAAGAAGACAATTTCATTGGGTGATTCATCTTTCCTTCTTGTGAATGCCCTTTAAAAACAAATTTCCAAAATGTATAGACATACATGTATAGTTTTCATTCTGTGCTATATTTATAATAAAACATGTAATGCATTTAACAACATAAAACAAACAAAAATAATGATAAATGAATGCCCTCCTAAAAAGCACTGTTTTCACCATTTTACCAAAAGCCATCAGGGTAAGGTACATCTTACCCAGGGGGCAGCTGTTCCAGAGACAGAGCTCTTCCACTGAGCATACTGTCCCTGCAAGACCATGTAAATAGGTGGATTCTACCTGAAAATGATGGTCCGAAAGGTCTAACCATAAAGCACCTTAAATTGGGCTTAGAAACCTATTGGCAACCAATGCAGTATTATTCTGCTAAACTAATGCTAGTCAGCAGGAGGGCTGCTAAATTGTGTGCCAGCTATAGCTTCCAACTATTCTTAAATGGCAGCCCCCCCCCCGCCCAACCCAATGAATTGCAGTAGCCTAGCTGAGACATGACAAGAGCTTGAGTCACTCTCTTCAGTCCCTCTTGGTCCAAGAAAGGATGGAACTGAGAGACCCACCAAAGCTGTCCAAAGGGTCTCCTGGCCATGATTTCTACCTGCTGTTCCAGCAGGAATGGTTAAATCAAGGGGAATCCCCAGATTCTCCACCAGATCCTGGTGAAGGGCTACCCCATCAAGAGCTACAGATGAAACAGCCATGGTTTCAGATTACAATAACTCCTTTTTGCTGGATCCAGCTACTGTCTGTTTTATATATATATAAAGCTTTCCTTTTCTCGGCTGCCATACAGCTGCATTTATTCATGAAAATGAAATTCATTTTAATAGTGTTTGTTCTTTGACATCTCTGTGATAACACAGAATTGTGATTGAAAAAAAAAAAAGACTCAACTTCCCAAGATACATATTTAGTGGCATGCATGATTACCATATATCTGCTTCAGAGTGGTTGACTTCTGTACCAAGTTGGTTCCTGAGCTGTTTTTGTTCATGGCCTTTGGGATTTTGCCTGAAGTAACTGCTTTCAGTGGAGTAAAGTTCAACTTTTTGTTCCAAATGACCTTAATGCACAGGGCAGCTGTTTTTTGTTGCCATTCATCTTCATCTTTACACTGCTGCTTCACACTAAAAAACTGAAGGAATTGCTTTCTTAACCGATAGCTAGAAGAAGAAAACAAAGTGAGGAATTCAGTTTTAGCTTACCACTTTTTAACTCCAGAGTTTTCTTTGAACCATTTTCTTTTTCAATTTTTGCAAAAACGATATTTTCTCTTAATTGTATTAACCTCATTTTCAATGTTTTAAAAAAGTAGTAAACAAAAATAATACCTCAGGGATGTATTATTATTATAGGTAGTACATACCTCAGGATTGTACTACCTCCTACATATAATACAGTGATTAAATTAAGCCAAACATAAAAAGAGGAGAAATAACAAACCAGGAAAAAGGGGAAAAATCCATATAAGATTAATTCAATCCTTAAATCTATAAAACTTATGGAAACATTTTACTCCTCATTTTAGAATATAAAGACATTTCAAAAATGGATAATAAAACTGTTCCTTAACATCAGGATAATCAGTTTCTTTTCATCTGTAAAAATATTCTCATTATCAAGCCCAAGGCTTGATAGAGGCAAAACTCTTCATAAAATGTCATATTCCATATTTCAGGAGTACAAAAATCCCATTCACTTTCTTGCCTTCCTCTGATCCACTGTTTGGCCCTTGGATATTCTGCTTTTAGGCCCAATATAGATAGTACCATCAAAAAAGATATGTCCTTTCTTCATGAGAATGGGTGTTCCTATAGCTAAAAAATGTTAACTGCACTATTTCCACATCATTGTTGTATCTGATCATTTAACATTCTTATGCTTCAAAGCCCTTTATGATATCTGAAATTGTAGAAAGTTAATATGTGAATAATATATCCTTGGCTGACATGCCCTTTTAACACTGGAAAAAGAAGATTCAGAAATGATGCATTTTTCAATTTTCTATCCTCCATGTTTACTTGAATTACCACTCCTGAATTCTGGGAGCCATAATCTAAATCAGGTTGAGGAACACTGTGCAAATCAACACAACACAACACAACAGGCATTTTTTAACCATTCTGCGTGTTTACATACCACATTCCTTCCAATTTCATTTGATTATATGCATACTTGACATCACATTGCTCAAAGTATACCAAAGCATAAATTTATATTACATGCCAAGCCTCATGATTTTAGTAATAATTAAAATGAGATAGAATGGAGGAATTTACTGACATCCATACCTTCTCCAAGCCTTTTGAATGATGTTTGCTGCATTATACTTCCTCTGAAATAGCTCTTTTCTTGCTCTTTCTTTTTCTATTATTTGCATCTGAACTGATTCAGGGTATGCATTTTTGTGCTGAACAAAACACAGCTGATCTTCTGAATTCCTGGATATCAATAGAGCTTCTCTGTTCAGGGTTGTATCACCTCCATGACCACCATTCACAGCCATCTTGTTGAGTGCAATCCTTGTAACACTTGCATTCTTGGCCACCGAACAACAGGCTTTACTATTTTTTATCTTATTGATTTGTGTAACTGTAGCATTTGAAATATCCCTTTCAATGTTTATTCTTCTTACTGTGGCACTGCCAGGCCTGCTTGTGCTAGCCAAGGACCATTTTTCATTATTTAATTCTTTATTTTTTGTTTTTAACTGATGTGGATTATTTTTAAGTGCTATATTACATTGTCCTGAGTTTCTTATACTTCTACTACTTCTACTAATGGATCTATCATCCTGAATAGAAACTGTTGTTTCTTCAAAATGGTTTATATCATTCTTTACTGACCAATTTTGATGGTCTGATTTTTCCCCAGAGCTGGGAGATATAGTGTTTGAATTGTGCCTTTTATTGCTGATGTGTGTAAACATACCAGCTATTGTTGCAGGAGGCTTATGTTTTTTGTCATCCCTGCCTAAGGTAGCAGATACTGTTTGATGCCTGTGTTGGTCATTATTCTTATAAGAATACGAAGGGATACAGGCAGACTTGCTGTTGCTGTTTGCCTCACATACATCTACAGAAACAGAGATAAATAAAAATATATTTATTACTTCTTAAATTATGGTTAGCTTAACAAATTTGAGACTCAATATTGTTCCGATACAAAAAATAGATTTTTTTTTCAAAGTCAACTTGTAATACCTAATTTTAAAGCTAGAGGCAGTTTAAAGTTTTAATACATAAAATATTAAACCTAAACAAATAATAGAGCTTAGGAAATAAAGGTTGCAGGATTCTAAAAGAGGATTCTATAAGTAATTTTCAAGCAGTCACGTGTGAATTCATACCTTTCAGATAATTAACCTTTATAGTATCCTATTTGTAAGAGTTGCCACATTCCGCAACGAATGAAACTCTCACGAAACACAGTGTCAGAACCTGCATTAACCAACAAATGTCAATTTAAAAAGCTATAGCAGTCAATTGGGGTTTGCTTGATTTGATTCTGCCATTTGTGACTAGGGAGGGGGGATGGTAGTTAAGGGTGCTTACACTGAGATGGGCAATTAAGGCAAGACCTGATTGCAGGCAAAACCGGTGGTAGCCTGATGGCCAGGAAAGGAAGAGGTCACCACCAGGTGAAAAAGAATTGTGGCGCCAAGGCAACAAGGGGAGGAGGGATAAATAGAGGGAAGTTTACACAGGCTTTAGTTTTAGCAATGTTTTGCTTCAAGCTGCATGTCCCAACCAATAAAGGAGCATTTATCTGAACCAGGCCTGGTT